CCACGGAGGTCTTAGATCTCAGTTCTTGTACACTAACGACAGATCTAACATGAGTGACCAATAACGACTCCCCACCAAGTGGGGACTGCCATCTGCCCCAGACCGGAGATGAGATGACACAGAAGGGAGGGCTACCTCACCAGTCCACAGCTAAAGTCCTGAGTGTCTTGGCCTGGACGTGGAGGCCACTGCCAGAGCACACAGACATAACCACTGTGCTGCCCTGCCTTTCTCAGGACAGCCAGGATACACACACCATGCACCTTGGTCACTTTAGAACATTCTGTCCACACTGGATTCAAAATCTTTTTTGTTTTCAACTTCCATGTAATTCAACCTATTCTCTCTTTCCTTTATGCTTGCTTCCTTGTTTTGTTTGCTTTTAAATAAAGCTCAGGAAGACAAATCCTCCTCCATGCAGAAATCGGGAATACTGAAGATTCTAAATACTGTTAGTTTTTAAGAATATAAACTTAAAAAAAAAAGTAGATAATCATCGATTCCTTTGGAATTTGTTTTGTTGTGTGAGTAATGGTTTAGGTTGGGTTCCTTCCAAACAGTGCCGCAGCCAGCCCAGCACCATCTGCCGAGGCATACTCACTTCGTCCCCCTCACGGGAAGCACTTGGAGAGAATTCTAAGCAAAGACTTCTCTGAAGAAAACTCTCCGCCACTACTGATCTGAGGGACTTGGTAATCAAAAAATTCAAGCTAACATTAAAAAAAAAGTTCAATTTTACTCTTAAAGAAAAACAAACGAAACGCCCTCTTCTCCGCCCTCTTCCTTGGCAGAACGCTGCGCCAGAAGATGTGTGTCAGCAGCGCTGCGCTGCCCTGCTCACGGCACCCACCCAGGCCCACGGCACCAGCTGGCTCAGAACACGGTCCCCCACAGTCCAGCCACTCCATGGCTGTTAACGTCTCAGTGTTCACACCACTCTGACGAGGGAGGGTTAAACACACATACACACTGAACTCTGCCAGCTCTTATGGCGGCTGCGCAGAAAGGAGAAATGTACATTTCCTTTCCTGTCAGTGATTGTGAACTGGACTTCAGCCGAGGCCATCCACACACGCTGCTCCTTCCCATGCCAATGCAGAAGAGCAGCTGCCTGCGGGAAGCTCGTCTGCTGAATCCCCCATAGAAAGGACACGCACACCTATTTATCCAACGGATAAATTTACAAGAAACAAAACAAAACATTTACGGTGCATTTACAAGAAACAAAACAAAACAAAACCACTAGAAGCCGTCAAGTTTTTGAGGCTCGAATAATGAGTGGGGAAACTGACTCCCCTACCACGTGGTCCAGGCCCACCGTGGGATTCACTGTGACACACACAACGTGGCAAACCACTGCTCTGAGACCTGGTCTTACAAGATGTTGCAGCTTCTGCCTTCTTTCTGGAGTTTTCCACTTTGCCCCATGGCAGGTGAGGGTCAGTGATGAGGAGAGGGGAGGCCATTGGGACTGCCCTACTTGTAGCAGCTGGTGGATGCCCATGGTGCCTGGCTGTCCCAGGCGGCTGCAGATGCAGCAGCCCAGTGCACAAATCCTTGGGGGGTGGGTACCTGAGGCCTGAGCTGTGGAGCAGCTTGTGATGCAGACACTCATGTGGACTCAGTGTCCAGGACAACACTGGGCCGAGACCTTCTGACTCCCCCCCTCCCCCCCCCGCCCCAAGGAAATGCGCCATGGCTGCTCATTATATGCGGATGTACTTTTAAAAGTTCCCAGAGAAACAGAATGTCAGCTTCAGTGCAAAAATTCTTTGAAATCTATGCTTCCCCACCCCCCGACCATATTATGAATTTTCTACGGACTTGTTGATGATTCCTTGTAATTAAGAAAGCTTCAGCTTTGCAATTCCAGAATCTAGACCCCCTCCTCCCACCCCAAACAACACTGTAGGGACAGTGAACAGCAATGCATTCAGCTCTGTAAGGAGGGCTCTGATCTGGCAGGCGCCAGGCTCCATGCAGAGCCTGGTGGGAACTGAGGTCCAGCAGGCTCCGGGCTCCTTGCAGAGCTCACATGGTGGGAACTGAGGTATAGCAGGCTCCGGGCTCCGTGCAGAGCTCGCATGGTGGGAACTGAGGTCCAGCAGGCTCTGGGCTCCGTGCAGAGCTCGCATGGCTGTTCAGGGAGCCCAGGAGGGCAAGGGCAGCTCCCACACCCAGGCTGCTATGCTCCCTAAGTCACTACCAACTCCTATTCCTGAGCCTGTCATGAAGAAGCCTGAGCTTCTTCACTAGATTCCCAATCCTTCTGATTCACAATCACTTTCCTGAATTGCAGCAGAGTTAACTATTATCTCAATGTCGTTCATAATCTCAACCTAAGGAAGATGGGCTTAAAAAATACAAAAGGGCTGGTGGAGGGAGAATTTGATACAGAACAGGGTGAGCAGGCAGGAGGGGAGGCTGGGGGAGGGTCTTGGTGAGGCAGTGCTCCTACAGGCGAGGTGCATCTCTTCCAACACACAATTCTGGAAGTGTTTAGGAAGCTGCTCACAGAACACAGTCCTCAGGGCAAGCTCAACACCAACGAGTGCTATGAAGTTTTAACAACAGCAATGTCCCCCTCTAAAAAACTCTCAATCAGTCTATGGTGTGTAGATGCTTTTTCACATTGGAACCACAAACTCTTCAAGGTTCTTTGGGATTTTGGTAACTAGGAGTGATTTTCATCTTTTTACTTATTCTATGTGCACTTCAAAGTAGTCTATGGCAACACACCATTCTTTTGTGTAAGGAGGTACAGAAGAGAAGCATCTCCTATATCTAAAATCAATCTAACTCCGAACATGCAAGTGTTTCTGAACCCTGGCTTGGCTCAACACACCAAATGACCCTAACACTGAAGTATACAGTTGGTAAAGCAATACACATTCATACATATGGGGTTCTTCAAGAAACGGGTGGAAAAAACGAAAATGTTTATTCTGCTGCAAGAAACTTGAAACTCATGCATTTCCCTCCCACTTGGCCCCGTAAGCTACACTTCCACAAGCTGAACGATCTCACACACAAGTGGATTTCAAAACCCCTTTGCAGCAAAATAAACTTATTTTTAATTCCGTTTTCCATGAATTTTTTGAAGTACAGTTTCTTTACCAAATGTCTACTTAAACATCTATACACAAGTAGACAAAACAGCAAAAATTATAAGCTGAAACTTCCAGAGACAGCATAAGAATGCTACTGAATCAGAGAGGCAGATCAGACCCACTGTGGACACGAAAAGAGGCTAGAGGTACAGCTCCGTCACAGGTACGCTCAGGGGCAGTGCTAAAAGACTCGCATCTTTTCAGCTAAACATCCTTCTCATTTGGAGCTAATACTATAATAATTATTTTTTAAAAATGCGTTTTAAGGCAAAAACAATTTCTGTCTATGAACACAGGGCAGAAGAGACATGGGAGGACAGCCGTGGAGTGTGGGCAAGTGCCCTCTGCTCTGGCTCCTCCTCTGCTCACAAGAGCCACAAGCAACAGCTCCTTTATTAACTCATTCTCACCTACGTGGGTATCTGGAGGTCCAATCCTGAGGTCAGAGTGGGGCCCAGTTGAGGCAAGGAGCCCAGAACTGCACAAGCCCTTGAGTTACTGCCTCCCAGGGAGATGGATGGCAAGTGTACTAGCCCATACTCAAGCTGGCAGTCCAATGTAATGTGTGGGGTCCCAGTGGCAGCTGGACTTGCTGCACCATAACACACTCCACACTTCTTTAGAAAGATTCCCCTACTTCCACATTCATTCACTTATTTGAAAAGCTGGGGTAGGGTGGGGGATGGATGGAGAACGACAGATGACACAGGACACAGAGAAGCATATTCCATGTGCTGGTTCAATTCCAAACAGCTTGGCCAGGAGCCATGGGTCTAAGCACTTGGGTCACCTTTCACTGCCCTCTGAGGTTTATCAGCAAGAAGTTGGATTGGAAGTGGAGCAGCCTGGACTCCTGGTGTTCTCGGTGGTGACTTAACCCATCTTGCCAGTATCCGTCCCTCTGGTACTTCTAAGGACACTGTTTACCTGGCCCACCCAGACCCTCCGGGCACAAGCTCCCTCTGTCCTACTGTCAGCTGCTGGACAAGGGTGGTGTTCACACTTTCACAGGGTTTAAGGATGAGGTTGTGGACACCTTGGGTAAAGAGTTATTTCTCTGTTTACTGTAGTTGTATAATAGTCTAAACTTTTAAAAGCAGATGTGTAAAGGACATAGGAATAAAGAATAATGCAATTACCAAAGTTAACCTTAAAAAATGAAAAAAATTACCTAATTCTTCATTTTAAAAACATGTTTTCATATAACTTACGGATATGAAGATTCCTTCCCTTTTTTTTCCTTGATGTTTAATAGTTTTGGATCCCATTTTATTTAGCATGTAGGCATTTATTTTAGTGCTGCTTGTACTATAGATACATGTGACAACATATTTATAAATACAAAATTCACTTGGCTGAAATATTGTAGACATGAGGACTACATACTTGGGAAGCTGTGCCATGACTTAAAAGGCTAAACTTCTGCCTGAGGTCATGGCATCCCTTATGAGCACTGGTTTGAGTCCTGGCTACTCTACTTCCTTTCTAGTTCCCTGCTAATGGCCTGAGAAAGCAGTGGAGGATGACTCAAGTTCTTGGGACCCTGAACCCACATGAGAGACCGAAAAAAGCTCCTGGCTTAAGACACCCATGGGAGCAAGAATAAAATTTCCTCGGCTACAAGTGCTTCTTCAACATCTGGCTCTGCCAGTTAGCAAACAGTGAGATAAACAGACTTATTATTCTGTTTCTCAGGTGCCTATATTTCCTGAACCCGAAGGGTGTGAACTAAATTCAAAATGGTGGGAAAGGGATCACTCCAGACTCCTTTCCACGTGGCCCCTGCTCCCTAGCAAGCACCGAACCAGCGGTTATCCCTGGCCACAGGCATGTAAAGTGAGACACACCAAGCCATTTCTAAGGAAAAGGAACCAATGACAGAAGATTTACCTTTGGAGTCGGCATTTGGGAACAACCTGTTCCATGGCACCTTGTTTTTGTGTGGAAGAGAAAGCAAATAGTTTCTAGCTTTTAAATTTATTATACAGTTCAGGTCTTCTTGTGATGGGGAACCAAGAATACCTGAAAGACAAAAGTGATTAGCTGTCAGGTACCAAGAACACAGCAAAGCGACTATGCCCATCAGTGCGAGAGGCAGAGAACCCTGGTACCTTACTGCCTTTCTCACTGGTTCCCAATGCTTACCTTGCTGAAAACCCTTTTTAGAAAAAGGCCCTCAGCATTTTTCAATCGGGGAGCTTACACATTCACATCTCCCACATGCTGGGGAGTTGTGAGGAAGATGTGCTTCCGAAGGAAACTGCGCACGCCCAGACAAGCCAAGGAGGTCTCGCCCCTTCCTCACCCAGAATGTGGTTCAGCTGGTCGAGGTAGTGCTTCCCCGGGAAGATGGGCCGGTTCGAGAGCATCTCCGCCAGGATGCAGCCCACAGACCAGATGTCGATGGACTTGGTGTAGCCCTGGAGCAGGAAGGAAGGCAGGCAGGCAGCGTGAGGACAGCAGGCAGCTTCCTCACCACAGGCGCCTGCCTCGTGGATCAGAAACGCCTGACAACAAGCAGCACGGACATGTGTATGATTCTTTTATTTAAAATTTTTTTTTATTTTTTTAAATGAGAGGCTGAACAACGAGAGCACCAGAGCATGTTTCTTTCTCCAGGCCAGCTAACTCACTCAATTACAGCTTGTAAAGTGCACTTCAGAACCTTTCCAAATGATCTCACAGATTTAGAACTCTTATAAATTGGAGCTGGAAAAGTGGCAACAATTTGTGGCTTTTGAACAGCTGTGGTACATCTACTCATTTTTGGAAACCTGGAAATTAACTCTAATGAAGAGGCATGGTTATTCCTCCAGAATGTCTTCTTCCATTTTGAAAATCACACTTAATTCCCTATTTTCAATGTCTCTTCTAGCCATTTTTCAGGCATCAATTTACTTTTAAAGAATTCTGTTAAGTTACAGAATTCTGTCTAAATCCTAAAACAGTACAAAAAAGATGTCTCTCTGTCATAAGCAGTAATAAATGTAAGCAGAAATGTGAAAACAGAGAATAAAAATTTGAGTGAAATACTGAAAGTTGGGAATGGTGAAAGCTTTTCGGAAAAAAAAGAATCAGTGATTAACGTTCACAGAATATAATTGGGTTGGATTTTCAAATAATGTTTTAAAAAATATTTATTTATTTTGGGAAAGAAAGCTACAGAGATAGATTTATACAGAGAAAAAAGAGAGAGAGGCAAGAACACACTTCCACCAGCTTGTTCACTTGAGACCAGTGCTTCACCTGGGTCTCCCATGCGGCTGCAGGAGCCCGACCACTTAGGCCACTGTCCATTGCTTTCCCTGGCCCTTTAACAGGGAGGTGGGACAGAACTGGAGCAGCCAGGACTCAAAGCAGTGCCCACGTGGGATGCCAGTGTCATGAGTGGCACCTTAACCTACTGTACCACAAAGCCACTTCCAAATCAGTCTTTCTAAAACTCTTAAAATCCAAAATAACTTTTGCTTTTGGCTGAAGTTATATAAAGGGAAACGCTGAGAACATTAAAAATAACTACAAAGCATCAACAGCCTTGGGAGAAATGGCTACTCCAGGTCTGGGGCTCAGGCAGGGAAGACCTAAGGGCCAGGGGGAATGAGAGAGGCAGCTCCCAGCTGACATGTTTAGGACATTCTATGTCTCAAAGTATCCAATGGCAGCAACAGATTAGAAACCATCAAATAAAGAGAACTCAAACAGGGAAAAAAATGCCAGCCAAAACCATCAATGGTTGCTAAGACTAGTGGGGGACATCCTGTCCAGTCCTGGATATTTCGCCACAAGCCATCAGTCACTCCAAAGGGAGAGATGTGGAGGACACCACCTTACTGACAGTCAACAAGGACATCACCCACAGCAGCACTTCCCAGACCTGTCTTTGGACACGGGGCACTGCAACATCACTTCTGTGGCATTTAGCTCACCTCACAGGGCATACACACCAGCTTCTCTGTCACTGGGTGGCTGCTGATGGGCCTAGGCAAGGTAAGGGTCCCATGCTCTGGGGATATCAGTGCACCCTGAGACTCTGGAGTGAAGTGACGGACCAGGCTGGTGAAGTGTGACAATAGTGTGTCCAAGAAGAGAGAAGGAAGGTGGGAACAGAGGGAGGGGCGGCTGAGGATGGCCTGGGTGGAGGTTGGGGGGGAGATATGGAGATTTGCAGTATTCTCACTTTTTCTATGGGTGTGGAGAATTTCTAAGTTAAAACAACAAAAACAAAAATATGTGGTTACAAATCTCAGTCTCAGGCTAGTGGAGTTGCATGTACATTACAGATCCATACAGGATGGCTGGGACTGTAGCTCTGCAAGGAGAAGGGAGAGGGCCCCTCCCTGTGCACAAGTGCAGGCGGCTGCAAGGCCAGAAAGCCACCATGGCGAAAGACAGTTGGGTGCCCGTGCTTCTACACCAGCATTCCTGGTTTGGAAGGACCAGGGTTAGCCAGGGAAGGCACCTGCTGTGTGGGGTTATATCTAACACAGAGTCAGGACAGAAGCAACAGTGCTTTCTCAGAAACATTGGTGGTGCTCAATCCTTCTTTCCAGTGAACTGTGTTTAATATCTCAAGATAATGAGATTCTTAAGGTAACCATGTCGGGCCCACTTAGCTACCCAATTTTGGCAACTTATTCACACACTATGTGCAAATGACAGATACAAAGCACTGCTGTGCTGGCTCACATCCTAACCAGCGGGATGTGCCTTTGCTCTCTGCTGCTTTTGTAAATGCATTCGGTCATTTCTTGGGGAAGACATAGCTCAGACATGACTGGATGCACCTTCCATGGCTATGCTGAGGCACAGGGCATGTAATTCTGAAAGAGTCCACAATGGCTACGTGGATTCTCTGAGTACCACACATTCTTCTACATCTTGTTGGGGAGACATGCGTTGTTATCAAACACCCCTGACTTTACAGAACTGCCCTGGTTCTAGGTTTAGGTGACAAGTTCCAATGCTGCCTCAGAGGTGGTGGTTAGTAGGTGTGGCTACTACATGGGGGCAGGCTCATGGGAGAGGAATAGAGGATGGGACATGGACACCCTGTCTGGGTGGAAGGCTCACCCTGATTGGGTGACATGTCAGCACTACTCCAGCTGAGGGGGAGACACTGAGCTGGGACCCAGAGGTCTTAATGCAGGAGAAGGAGATGAAAAAGGTGCCTTGGCACTAGCCAGAGGGCCAGGCCTCTATACAAGTGGAAACAAATTGCACAGGGAGGCTTCTGGCAGCCCAAGGGGAACATTCTGGAACTTGCTGGTTTTCTTTTTATGAAAACTTGGTCCTTACCTTGGAATTCAACATAATTTCTGGAGCCCTGTACCAACGGGTGGCTACATACTCTGTCAGGAACCCTGTGTGGTCGTGGTCCGGATCTGCAACGCGGGCCAAGCCAAAGTCACAGATCTGCGGGGAAGAGACATGACATTTACTTAGACATTCTGAATAACTCTATGCCTAAACTCCAGAGCGAGGAAAAACAGATGACCGCAATAACACCGGCCCTGGGAGTCTCCACCATGACCAGGTACTCGCTGGGGATCCTAAAAACTCAGGATTATTTTAGTCCTGCCTTGCTGCAGCTCCTGGGGTCATCACTGCCAGGACCCCCAGGTGCCATTTATTTCTTGAACTTCCCTTGGTCCATGAGTAGGCATTGCAGAGATTCTTTCTACTTCCTTTCCCCCCTTCATAGTCTCAAACTACTCCCAAGGCTGGGGGAAAATAAAGTTTCATACACTGTATTGAAGATAAAAAAAAAATTATCCAGCTTCCCATTTCTCTTGATTTGCAAAGCACCGGCTGGCACTCAGCACCTGTTCACAACACAGTGGTGAACTCGGGGCCAAGGAGCCTGTGGCACTCCGAGGCATTTCAAGGGAACCACACTGTATTAACAGCTGCAGTGGACCTTGCTACAGCTGCTGCCTACCTCAATCTCCAGCCCTGGAGAGCTGACTGAAGGGCAGGTGTTCACATGTTGTGAACAAAGACAGGCCAGAACACGGGAGGCAGCCGAGCCGGCTTGCTGTACTGAGCTGGCTGAAAGATGAGGGCCTGGACTGGGCCTTCCCAACGGAACCAGGAAGGGGCATGTTACAGAGCTACAGGACTTGGGGTCTATCTGGGCATCAAGTCCATAGCCTGTTGAGAGCCCAACCACCTCAAGCCTCTTCTCAAGGTCTGCTCCCCCAGTGGCTGGCATCACTATGGCCCACTGAGGCTGAGAGGAGTTGTAGGTGCTCCTTCCTTGTATCCATACAGCCTTTTCTACCCACTCCTATTGTGTAAACTGCAGCACGGGGTTGGCAGTCGTCCTGCCCAAGATGCTCCCTAGCCACACAGTCCCATCCAACCTATTTCTGCCCAGAAGCACTGGAGCAACTAAGGGGAGCAGGTGCTAGAGGCCTCTCAGCGCCACCACCAATAGGCTGGACCATCACCCACCCACTCCAGTTCTCTGTGACTCACAGGTCCTCTCTATTTCAGGGCTAATTCTTCATCTCATGGTTCAAGTTCAACAGAATCCTGTCTGCCTTCTATAGTATAAAAGATGCCTCCAGGTACACCCCAAGTTGTGCAATCAAGAGAAGAGGTGCTATACTTTGTTGGCAGAGCAAAACCAGGCCATGCTCCTGAACACGAGCACAGACCTGCCAGGGCCTTTTTGCCCAGCTTCACATACCACCATACCTGGTGGAGGGGGAGGGTGTTGGATGGTGTGAAGGGGTTCAGATTTGACCCATGGCTTTGCGTGGCACAGCTGACTCAACTAAACACGACAGATTCTTAAAAAGAAACAAACAGAAAACCCAAACAACCCAGGATATAAAAAAAACCACAGATCAAAGAGGCCAGTTGAGGTTTCCATATACTTCTAGGGAATGTGGACAAATAAATGGAAGTCACCTTAGGGGGCTTGCTAAGATCCTCAAACACGCCCAAACATCGTGATAAACAACAAGGAGGGACACAGCTTTTTCAAGAGGCCACAGCAGAACCCCCCTGCCCATACTTCAACAACACTGAAAGTCTGAACCTGTGTGAGGAGGTGGTCTGGCAGTTAAGAGATGATGGCTAGGAAGTCTGCATCCATATTTGAATGTTTGGGTTCAAACTGGAGCCATACGGGATGCCAGCATTGTAGGCAGTGGCTTTATCTGCCAATGCCACCCCCACCCCCACCCATTTTCATTTATACTATTGTGCCCAGGACATAGAATCCGAGCAGGTTCTCAAAAGTTATTGGTTATATGTAAGTTATTGGTTACATGTAAACAGCTAACAAAAGTGATGTGGACTTTCTCCACACCACACCTCTGCACCTGCCCCAATCAGGGCCTGCGGTCCACACTCTTCTTTGGAAAGAGACTCTCTCCTAATACGAATACTCGTGTGAGTGATGCACACTCCAGAGGTGCATGCTGTGTTAATACCTAAAACGTTTAGCACCATGGTGAAAACATGCTTGGGGCAACCGCATCCTATACTAAAGTGTGTGAGATCCCCAGCTACCTCACTTCATCCTTTTTTGTTTTTTACAAACAAACAAACAGGGCTTACTTATTTGAAAGAGGGGGAAGAAGAAGGGGAGAGGCAGACAGAGATTTTTAAATTTTTATTGGAAATCTGCTGGTTCCACTTGCTGGTTCATTGCTCAAATGGCCGCAATGGCCGGAGTTGGATCAGGCAGAAGTTAGGAACTTCATCTGGGTATCTTATATGGGGACAAGGGCCCAAGCACTAAGGCCATCTTCCTCTATTTTTCCTAATCCATTTGGGGAAAATGTCAGTAGGGAGCTGGACTGGAAATGGAGCAGCCCAGACCTGAACCAGTTTCCACGTGGCTTGCTGGCATCAAAGGCGGTGGCTTTGTTTGCTATGCCGCACACTGGCCCAGCTACTCCACTTGCGATTCAGCTTCCTACTCAATGCGCACTCTGGGAGGCAGCAGGAGATGGTTCCGTTACTTGGCTCCCTGTCACGTGTCAGGGATTTCAAGCCCTTGCTTCTGGTTTTGGTCTGGCTCTATTCTAACTGCTGTGGTCATCTGAACAAATAAAAATTGTTCTGTTTACTATCCTCAGGCTTTCAAATAAAACAAAAATTATTTAGTACTAGGTATAGGTGCATGAGGATGCACAGCTGTGTTTCTGTGTATTTTTTCTTTTTAAAAAGATTTATTTTTTATTGAAAAGGCAGATCAGACTTATGAAGAGAAGGAGAGACAGAGAAAGATCTTCCATCTGTTGGCTCACTTCCTAAGCAGCTGCAACAGCAGGAGCCAGGAGCTTCTTCTGGGTCTCTAACACAGGTACAGGGTCTTAAGGCCTTGGGCCATCTTGTCCTGCATTCCCAGGTCACACATAGCGAGACAGATGGAAAGTGCAGCATCCAGGACATAAACTAGTTCCCATATGGAATCCTGGAGATTACAAAGGGAGGATTTAGCCACCGAGCCATTACATCAGGCCCATGTGTTTAATTCTTGAAAACGATGCTTGTGTTGCACAGATGATCGGTAATTTATATGTGTACGTGTGCGGTGACATTTAATAACAAGGAGATGAACAAAATGGCCCCAGCTAAAGAAAAGTCCATCAACAGTGAAGTGATCACAGAGAAAGCAGTCTGCTTCTGCTTGCTTAGTCTTAATGATGAACCATTTTCAAATAAAAATAACAGTGAACTTTTCCCAGAAATTCTATATACTTAAAATATTGACTGAGATCGTCTCTCCAAAAATAAAGAAAAGCAATCTGCTGTAACAGGAAGGTGATAAGAAACCGAGAAAAAAAAAAAAAGAACAACACAAGACAACACTGAAGTATCTATTATAACTTTACAAGAGAATCACTAAGGGCCAAAACCACAGCAGAGTCAGTCCGAAAAGCAGCTTGCTTTCTTTGTGTCTTCCTGCGTTGCACCTGCACGCACCTAGGGCTTGGAAGTGGACAGCACCCGGGGAAGCAAGTGCAGGGGTGTGTAAAGGATGGATCCCAGCAGGGACGGTCAGCTCCCACCCACGCAGATCTGGGGAAGGAAGCTGCCCTCCGTATCGCCTCACCCAACATCAGCCCCAGGGCCTCAAACATCCAGCCGAGGTTTCCAAGCTAACCGTATCAGGACAGAGCCCAACAGCCTTCTTGGCCAGCGTCTACTTCCAACAAACCTCTCCAGCCGTGCGTCAAGGATGCTGTGGTCACCAGTGCTGTGGCTGTGCACAGGGAGACTCCACACTCTATTGACGGGCCCCTCACTTCTCGCTTTTATTTCTGCTGTTCCTTCTGCTTACACAACCACTCACTGCCACACTTCCCGTGCCGAGAGGGCCAGCATGGACCCTAGCTTCCTCCTGCTGCTCCCCTCACAATTCCAGTCATAACCAGTTCCCCACTCTCCCTGGCATCTGTACACATGCTTGCTCTCATATTATTACAATTTTCTATTTTCTATCAGATTTCTGGCTGGCTCATCTTCCTCACCTGCTACATCTGACAGTTTTTTACAGGAATGTCTCTTGAACTGAAATCTAACAAATGACTATTGCTACACATCTATATACAGTATTAAAAAAAATGGTTTGGGATAGAACTCACTCACTGAAAACGTATAGTTCAATGTTTTTACTATTAGAACCATGAGATCAGACAGCTATTACCATGAGCCAATGTAAAAGCATTTTTAGGATCTCGAGAAGGAGCTAGCAGGTCCCGTGTAGTGGCCTAATGGCCAAAGTCCTCGCCTTACACGCATTGGGATCCCACATGGTCACTAGTTCGTATCTTGGCAGCCCTGCTTCCCATCCAGCTCCCAGCTTGTGGTCTGGAAAAGCAGTAGAGGACGTCCCAAAGCCTTGGGAGACTACACCTGCATGGGAGACCCGGAAGAGGCTCTGGGATCCTGGCTTCAGATCAGCACCGCTCTGACTATTATGGCTGCTTAGGGAACGAATCAACAGATGGAAGATCTTCCTCTCTCTCTCCTCTCCGTATATCTGACTTGCCAATAAAAATAAGATAAATCTTTAAAAAAGAAAAAAAAAAAAGGATAGCACTCCCTGCCATTCCTTCCCCAAACTAACCAGTCCTGGGCAGTTGCCAATCTACCTTCTGCCTCCAGAGATCGGCCTGTGTTGGACACTTCATGTAAATGGATCTGTACGTGTAGTATTTCATGACTGGCCTTCCTCACTCAGACAATGCTTACAAATCCATTCACATACTACCAGTACTTCACGGCTCTTTATTCTATTGTGCGGACTGACCACAATTCTTCCAGTGGGGAATGAAGAGAGAGCTTCCTCCTTTGGTTTACTTTTCAGTTGGCCACAGAGGCTGGAGGACTGCAGTTGGGAGACACAGACTCGTTCCAGGCCTCCTGCGAGGGTGGCAGGAACTCACTACTCAGGGCCTCCCAGAGTTCACACTAGCAGGAACAGTGAGGAGCCACAGCCTGGAACTGAAAGCAGCATTCTGACACCGTCACCTCTAAGCCAATGTCGGCCCCCTTGTGCATTACTTTAGACTAAATTCACATGCCTACAGGACACAGAAGACACCCACAGACTTTCCTCCAGACACTTTTACAGATCGCTGGGAGAAACTGGAGGATTCTAAAGAATGTCAGCTTTTCCTATTTATTTTGGGTTCTTGGCTAGGTATTTAAGTCAGTGAGGCTAGGTATCTGATTTTTTTTTAAGATTTATCATTATTATTATTATTATTATTATTATTTTTGAAATACAGGTTGGTATGGGGTAGAGAGGGATGAGGGAGAAAGATGTGTATCTTCTGTCTGCTGGTTCACTCCCCAGAGGGCCACAAAAGCTCCATTGTGGTCTGCACCAGAGCTGGCACGAGCTCAGCTACATGAAGCATTACCCGCAGCTTTCCAGGGGCAGTACCAGGAAGCCGGGATCTGCACCTGGATTCCAACACACGGAATGTATGCACCTCAAACAGTGGCTTACCCTGCTGTGCCCAAGGCCCTTTGCTGGAGAAAGGTCACCAGGAAAACAGACGATTTTAAAAACTGTATGTACTGAGAAAGGCGTTAGGCACAGCGGTTAAAATGCTGCTTGGGATGCGGCATCCCAGATCAGAAAGTCTGAGTCCTAGCTCTGCTTCCTGACAACACGCATGCTTGGAGCAGCAGGTGCCAGCTTAAGTATTGTGTCCCTGCCACCAGGTGGGAGACCTGGCCTCAGACTGAGCCAGCCATGGCTGTTACACGTAGGTAGAGAGTGAATCACCACTGGATGGAAGATCTCCGTCACTATCTCTCTTTCTCGCTTGTCTTTCAAATAGGTAAATAAGTAAAAGTAATTTTTTAAAATGCAGAATTTCACATCTCACACCAAAACTTCCTCATTAAGTTTATACCTAAAACGCCTATTATATACACACATGCTGACACATATAAAGTACAGATGTACACTTGTATACACAAGCATAGGAAAGAAACTGGATAGAGGTATATCAACTGTTACAGTGGTTAGTCACGTCTGGGGGAAAAAACAAACCAGGAGACCAGCAAGAGGTGGTCTGGCACTCTCAACCTGCACGTATTTCCATGTATTTCTTTAAACAGAACTAAGGATCAAGCCAAGTGCTTCTTCCCTGTTTATCAGCCGACTGACCTTGAGATCACAGGTGGTGTTGAGCAGCAGGTTGGAAGGCTTGAGGTCGCGGTGCAGAACGTTAGCTGAGTGAATGTATTTTAATCCTCGCAGGATCTGGTAAAGAAAATAGCAGATATGGTCGTTGCTGAGGTGCTGTGTCTTCAAGAGCTTGTAGAGATCTGTCTCCATTAGGTCCTGTACTATGTATCTGTTTGTACAGGTTAAGTCAAAACAGCAGGCAAAGCACACACCTCTCTCACCCTGGGAGCATCGAAAGAGACGCCCGCCCGCTACGCCTTCAACAACAGAATCTAGCTAACATTCTGTGAGGCAGCAGGCAGCTATCGGCCTGGGGCAGCCTGGCTGACCTGAAATGGGCTTGAGGCAGATGCTAGCCAGTCCTGCAGCCCACGCTGCCTCCTGGCTGACAAACCCCGTTGAGGCTTGCGGGACAAGCTGTGCGTGAGAGGGAATGAGCACACTCCTCGTCCTCTGTGCCAGCAACAACTTACAACTTCACTTTTCTGTCCCCCTCCCCTTTGCCCCAACCTCTGCCAGAATCAACCACAAAATTTTCAGGAATACAGGTCTAGGAACACACAGCTATTAGATCCTGTCCTCAGTGGATTTTGAGGAAGTCTTTGTAAGAAGCGGCTTATGCTGGTTTTGCACTTTCTCTCTCCTTCCTTTCTTCCTTCCTCCTTTAAGGACTGATGTATTTATCTGAAGGGCAGAGTTAAGAGTGAGCTAGATCTTACATCCGCTCCGCTGGCTCACTCCCTAAATGGCGAAGCCAGGAGCTTCCTTCTCCGCTCCCATGTGGGCGCAGACTTAAGCCATCCTCTGTAGCTAGCTAGCTTCATTCTACTTTACCATAATAATTAGTGAGCATTAATTTCTACCCTTCTCTCTTAAGAATCCCTGCCAGATGAGAAGCAGCATGGGGTTACAAGCAGGCCTGACTTAGCAAGCCATCTGAAAGGGGCCGATTTTCATGGCAAAAGGTAAGAGTGAGAGCAACAGGTGGTGGCAGCAGGAGGCATTTCACTTAAAATACAACTTATTAACAGAGCTCTTTAAAAATGGAAAGGAGCTGCCACTCCCTGGTGAGCCAGATGCCAGCTGGCAGGAAAGCAGCACTAGTGGGAGGGCCGGGGTGCCTTCTCCCACAGATCCACTGACTCCCCCGCCCCAGCACCTCTGGCCAGGCACTTGCTCTGGATGCCCTGGGTCTGGATCTCTGAGGACAGTAAGGGCCAGGTCTAAAACATGAGGAAGCCGACGCCATGGAGATGATACAACTCTGGCTGCCCCTGGGGTGGCACGGAGGGAACCACAGGGTAGGGGGAGTGAACCAGGATCTCCTTTCCTGCTGCTCTTTGGTCTTCTTGCTTCTTCCCTGACAAGGTAACTCACCCCCCTTTAATGACTGGAAGTGCTAGTCCCCAAGACTCCCCACAACTACCCCTGGAGCACTTCGCCACTACTGAGGCGACTGGGGCATCGTCCCAGCGGCAGGGGACAGCTGCCAGACAAGGATACACATCTTTCATCTGCTCGATGGTCGGCGCGCGGATGATGTCATTGATCCCAATGATGTTTTCATGTCTGAAACGCAGCAAGATCTTGATCTCCCTCAGGGTCCTCTGGCAATAGGTCTGGTGCTCAAAAGGACTGATTTTCTTGATAGCCACTCGAACTTTGTTGACGTTATCATAAGCAGAGCTAAAAAATAAAACAGAAAGGAAAAAACAGTATTAAAAGCAGCAAACAGAGTATACGAAGGGGGATGGTGCTTTAGCTCAACTGGCTAATTCTTCACCTTCACATGCTGGGATCCCATGCGGGCACTAGTTCATGTCCTACCTGCTCCGCTTCCCATCCAGCTCTCTGCCTGTGACCTGGGAAAGCAGTGGAAGACAGTTTAAAGCCTTGGGACGCTGCACCCATATGGGAAGAACCTCCTGGCTTTGGATCGGCTCAGCTCCATTTGGGGAATGAACCAGCAGATGGAAGATCTTTCTGTCTTTCCTTTCTATAAATTTGCCTTTCCAATAAATCATTCTTAAAAAAAAAAAATACTGTGGAAATGAATGCAACCTGGTAAAGTCCCAGATCATCAGGACTGTGTCAGGGCATCTTTTTGCATCCATAAAGGCAGCAAGGGCCACAAAAGGCCTTAAGCGGGGGTTGGGGGGAGGAGGCTGCAGACACACAACAGCACAAACTTGGGCTTAATGGCACGTAGGCCTGCCTTCCGAAATCCAGAAACATGGACTTGTGCCGCATACAAGGAAGCATTTCCCCATTGTCTTAATGAACAACTGCATTCCTGTGACAGTAATCACAGCTCCAACACCACTTGCAGCGGCCAGGTCCAATTCCGCTGACACTGCAGAATCCACCCCTACCCCCCACCCCAATCAACCACCAAAAACTGACCCAACAGGACAGACAGCTGGCTTCTTATCAACGCTGCCTGTCTGGCTTGCGAAATGGGTGCCTATCCCTGCCTAAGAAACCGAACCATGATGTCTGTGTTGCTTTATGATAAAACCTAGTGTTTTATAATACTTGAGTAGCCCTAACACGGGACAGTTCTTCCCAAGCTGTCCTTAAGCTCCGACAACAGAATTCCAAGAAAAAGCAATGATTAAAATCTCAAGTATTATTACTACCTTCATGAACAACTTCCACTGAAATATTTTCTTAAGAGCCTTTATCGTTAATCAATGTCAGCCTCTGGACACGGGCAGTCAGACATGACTCAGGACCTCCAGAGAGGTCCCAGGAATGTGGGCCAGTCAAGCAGCCCCCAGTCTACCTCCTCTAACAGTAACTGTTCCACTTGTCTCACTCCGCCGCAGGCTACGCTGTGGAAGGACCTGCAGTTTTTGACCTCACTTCTCCTAAAACATTGTCAACAAGTGCTCTTAAACAGTCAAAATACAACCTATCTCCTCAAACGAACATTATGCAAATCCATTTTGCTTTGGTTTGGTGCTGTGAAGGTCTAAACCAGTGGCTTTCAGATAGGAAAGCAAAAGAAGCCACAGTTTAATCAGGCTTATTTGTTATTAGGAATAAGTAGGAATAAGTACTTTTTGAAATAAAAACTCTTGGGGTTGGTATGGTGGCATAAGAGCCTAATCCTCCACTGGCAGCACTGGCATCCCACATCAGTGCTGGTTCACGTCCTGGCTGCTCCACTTGCAATTCAGTTCTCCGTTTACAGCCTGGGAAAGCAGTGGAGGACAGCTCAAGGCCTCGGGGTCCTGCACCCACATGGGAAACCCGGAAGAAACTCCCTGCTTCAGATTAGCACAGGCCTGGCTGTTGCAGCCATTTGTTGGGGGGCGGGGAGGGGTGAGGTGCAGTGAATCAGCAGATGGAAAAATCTCCCTCTGTAAACTTTCTAAGTAAAATAAATAAGAAATCTTAACAACAAAAAAACAAAGGAAATGAAAACTTTTTTTTTTTTTTTGGTAACTTGGTTAAGATTATGGGGCCAACAGGAGACAGTGGCGATTAAACAGCTGCCCAGGGACAGGCTTCTGGGGCAGAAGTTAGGCTGTTGCGTGGGATGCGGGAGAGTGACTGGTTAGAATCTCGGCTCCCTCCACCTCTCCTCCAGCTTCCTCATGCACATCCTGGGAGACAGCAGGCGATGGCGAGTACCTGCACCCAGGCAACCGTGAGGGAGAAGCTGGTGGAAGCCCTAAGTCTTAGCATCAGCCTGGCCCAGCTCTGGGCTGCTAGAGGGGTGTGCTGATTGAGTCAATGGTTGGACAACAGAGACTGTCTTCTAAATAACATGAAAGAAACATTTTAAAGCACCTGCAAAATGCTGGTTTAAATGAAACATTACATATCTATAGTTTTACCAAGCACGGTAACCAATAATAGCCATAATTTTGCCTCAGTAAATTCTCATCCAAAACTAGGCAGTCAGACCAGCAATTAAGATGCCCACATCTCACCAGGGCTTGTCTTTCCACCGATGCAGATCCTGGGAGGCAGCAGGTGAGGCTCAACTAACGTTCCTGCCACCCACAAGGGACATGTGGATGGCACCCCTAGCTCCTAGGCGCTGGCTGCGGCCCAGCTCTGCCTACTGTGGGCACGTGGCCAGAGCCAGTGAGTGCGAGCCCTTGTGTCTGCTCTTCTCTTCTACCTCCACCTGTCGCCGGGACACAATTTTTTGAAACAAGAGACATCCATAGTTACTGTGCTTCTGTTGTACCAACATCTGGGGATGACATCACTAACGTGCTCTAAGTGAAAAATGTGGCATTACCCTCACCCCATCCCACCCGAGAAGGGCAGGCCTGTCCTCGGGGTCTGATCTCTTCCCCTCTCTTACCCATCGGGGTGCCCTGTGCCGACGCAAGCATGGAAGTGATCACAGAAGTCACACTTGTCCGTAATCACTCTGTGTTTACAGTTTCTCCTTGATTTTGCTTTACATATTTTATTGGTCCTCCTCTCTTTATTTATTTTTTTTAAACTGAAAGGCAGATATACAGAGAGAAGGAGACACACAGAAATCTCTTCTGTCTGCTGGTTCACTTGCCAAGTGGCCAATGGCCAGAGCTGAGCTCCTTAGAGGGTGCAGGGTCCCAAGGCCTCGGGGCCATACTCTGCTGCCTTCCCAGGCCACAGGTTGGAGTTGGGTGTGAGGAGGAGCAGTCAGGATTGGAATCAGCGCCCATGGGGTCCTGGCGGATGCCAGGCAAGGACTTTGGCCACTAGGCTATCACACCAGGCCCTATTGGCCCCAACCATGGACTCAATAGCTTGTGTTATAGAGCCATTCTGACACTCTCACCTGTTTCTTTAGGGTTCTTTTTTTTTCATTCCTGCTCATTCACCTCTGTACTACAGCCTTTTGCTTTAACTGGGGCTCTTTATTTTTTTATCAATTTACAGTTACAGTTTGGTTCCCAGTCAAATCCACAATTGCATAGTCTTTGGATGGGTCAATTTCATGATATTTACATTTGTTAAACTGATGAACTTGATTTCTCTAAAAATAAAAATTCAGCTTTAAATAAACTAACGAAGAGTGTCTCAGCTCAACCCTATAGGGCAAATAATCTGTAAATAAGTAAATAAAAATAAACAGATGATTACAATAAAATAAAAAGTCTGAAAGACAACTATTTTCTAGATGATCAACCTTGAAGATCAACTAAAAACAAACTGGTAAACACGATCTCACAGCGTGGCGAGGTAACATATTAGGGCCTGGTAGTACTATCACAGGAATCCAAAGGTGATTCATCAAGAAAGCAAGACATCACGCTGCAGAGATTACTCCACACAAAGTCTACACACAGCCAAGAAGCAAATGAAGCGATGTTCAGCATCACCAATCAGTAAAGGAACACAGCACACCGAGCTGTCACTTCACACTCCCCAGAAAGACAGAAAACCAGTGTTGGCACAGACGGAGAAACTGGGGCCCTTGGGCACATACAGTGACGCCTCAAAGAAGAAAATGTTAACTGCCATATGGTCCAGAAATTTCACTTCTGACTACACACACCAAAGAACTGATGCCAGCACACTCACGCCCATGGATCATTATGCACAACAGCCAAGACACGCAGCAATGGAGATGTCCACAGACTGAACAAACACAAAGTGCTGGGGCCGGTGTCTGGCCAAGCCGCCCGACCACAGACACCAGTTGGGGTACCTGCTCTCCAGATGAGCGCGCCTGGCCTCATGCTCCCACTGATGCACTCTAGGAAGCAGCAGGGGAGGCCTCCGCTGGGTCCCTGGCTCCCCTACAGGCACTGCGGGCAATGGTCGGAGTGGAGCGTCTGAGCCTGCTTTCTACTCATGAAGCACAGCACACTTGCATCCACACAAGAGACAACTACTGAGCCTTACGTAAGAACATTCAATATCCATTCATGATTAAAGCCATCAGGTATAGGAAGAATGTATGTCAGCGTAAAAAGAGGCCACATATGACCAGCCCAAAGCTAAATCACATTCAACCCTGGAAAGCTTGGTGGCTTCCCTCTAACATCCAAAAGCCATGAGGGGCTCGTTGCTGTGGCACAGTCAGTTAAGCTGCAGACTGATACACTAGTATCCCATATGGGTGCAGGTTCAATTCTTGGCTACTCCGCCTCTGATCTAATGCATCTGGGCAAGCAGCAAATCATGACCCAGGTACATGAGTTCTTGCACTCACCTGAAAGACTCCTGGTTCCTGTCTTAAGTCCAGCACAATCATTTGCAAAGTAAATTAGCAGAGGAAAGACATGTGAGGGGTGAGTGTGTATGTGTATATGTGTGTGTGTGTGTGTGTGTGTGTGTGTGTGTGTGTTCGTCCTTCTAACTCTGCGTTTTAAATAAATAAATCTTAAAAAAAAAAGAGCCAACTATGGTGCCCATTTTCAATAAAGTACTAAAAACCCAACTGCAGCAAATAGACAAGAAAAGAAAGAAAAGGCTTCCAAACTGGAACAAAGGCTGACTTGTCTGCAGAGGATATGATTTTATATATAGCAATTCCTAAAGACTTGCATAAAAATACTGTTAGAATAAATGAACTTAGTACAGCAGCAGGATATAAAACTAATGTACAGAATTAGCAGCACTTCTACACAATTAACAACAAAGAATAATAATATTAAAAAGAACTCTAGTTCCAGCATTAGTAAAATATTTAGGAATAAATCTAACCAAGGATGTGAAGGATTTGCAAA